CATGGAAAGAATGATGGGATGTGTGCTTGAATTGAGGGGGAGTATTTTGAGGGGGATTAATGGCAATGTGTCTTTTACTATAATAACTTTTTAAACATCCACTAAACTGTCAGTCACATCCTGTATGCCCTTTCCACTATGCAGCCATGATCTTACAGCCTCAGCCTAATTTTATCAGAATTAGTGTGCCTGTATTTTAACAATGAGAAATAGTTATTCCTCCATGTTCCAAATGCATAACTATATACATATTTCAGGTAAAAGGAGAGGACTTGGGGTAGAGAGATCAAGAACATTTTGGAACACAGATTAACCAAAAAGGGTTATGGAGGCTGAGGGCGTAGCTTAGTGATAGAGTGCTTGCCTAGCATGTGCAAGACCCTGGGTTTGATCTGCAGCACTACAAAAAAAAAAAAAAAAGATAAATACCAAAAGGAGGTGGTCTCTGTATCTTGGCCACCCTATACTGAGGACTGAGTTTAAGGAGATAAAAGAAAGGCAAGACATCTAAATGTCAACTTTGTTTGGATTCAAGCAAAAGGGATAGTTTTTTCTACAAAATATTGAATTATGGCTAACTTTTCAACCCTGCTTTCCAAAGTGGTATGTAAGGATGAATGTTTGTGATGGGCACCTCAAATTGCACAGAACTTCCAATGACATGTCTTCCGCTGATCCTCACAGAGCCCTGAGGTCTGATATTGTCACCCCCATTCCCAGGTGAGGAAAGTGAGGCTGGAAGAGCAAAGGGCTGCTCAACGTCACCACCGGAAGTCAGAGATCCTGGCCTTCCGGCCTTCCCTCTGCTCTGCACTGCCAACCCGAGAGGACACGTGCAGATCTACATTATGCGTCATTTTTCACATGTGGTCCTGAGTATTTACAAGTCCAGTCTAGACAAAACACATGACTTGCTTTTTTTTCTTTTTTTTTTTTTGTACTGGGGATTGAACTCAGGACCTTGCGCTTGCGAGGCAGGGCACGGCACCACTGAGCTAAATCCCTGGCCCAACATGCCATTTACTCTTGCTACAGAAGTCACATCCTCTGGCTGGTATTTCAAATTTGCTGTCACCAATGGGCTCCATTCCAGGACTGTGCTCCTGCCCTCCTCCTAAACCAGGGCCACCGGGCATCTGCTCTCCCTCCATCCAAGGCGGGCACAAATCCACTTGCTAGAGAAGTTCGGTAAAACTCCCTCTTACTCTAGGCCCCAAATCCCTTTGGAATCTCAAGCTGCCTTCCAAGGGAAGTGGCTTGTCCAGGTGGCCCTGTTCATCATGCCAAGAGGTATTCCTGGAAGTGTCTTTGTGATATTAACTTCCTAATTTAAATGCACTGGGAAGCTTGGAATTTGAAGGAACCCGGCTGGTAACTTTTTGTTTGTTGTGTTTTTTTGGCATAGGGTCTTGCTACGTCGACAGGCTGGCCTCGACGGCGAGCCTCTTCCCGAGTGCTGGGATTACAGGCATGCACCACGCTCGCCCCCATTTCTAGTATCACTTTCATTTTTATGCTGAAGACAGGATTCCGCGGACTCTCACCCACGGTTGCGTCTCCGCTGGCAGAGAGAGACTGCTCCTTGACGAAGGCAGCCGTCTCGGATATGTTGGGGATGTCCTGGGCCTCCAACGTTGCTTGGGAAACCTGCTGAAGATGCTCCCTCGCTCCTCTCAGTAGCACATTCCAAATCCCCAGTCCTCCACAGCCAACAGGTGCACGGACCCGAAAATGGCTCATTCACTCCCGCAAAGAAGACTTCTGACGCTACGTTCTGGGCTCCTTGTCCCCACTTCCGGCCCTGCTTTGCTAACACTTCCGGTCCTACTTTTGGTCTTCCACCTGACACTTCACCATCTTTCTGCTTCGGGGTACCACCCTGCCAATCATTACTTCTCACTCCAGTGTCTTTAACCAGTTCTTTTCCACCACTCTTTCCATTAAAGTTTAAGTCGTTTGCACTAAAAAAAGCAATAGCTGGATCCAGTGGCGCACACCTACAATCCCAGAGCTCAGGACGCTAAAGTAGAAAGGTCATGAGTTCGAGGCCCGCTTGGGCTACACAGTGAGCCACAGTGAGCTACCTAGTGTAGATCTGTCTCAATAACTAAATACATAAGCAAATAATCCTTTCACCTCAATCCTTCCAGCTATGCCCTTAGCTCTCACTGCCGTTGCTCTTCCTCACCTCTCTTGCGCAGCCCACGAACTGGCGTCAGGCCAGTTCTACCAAGGTTAACTGGGATCTTTTGTTGGCCAAAGCCAGTGGTTGGCCTGAATACCGATCCTTCCCTCATCCAGACACTGAGCTCCCAACCTCGGCGGCCCCTGCCCCTCAAGCAGGATCACTACGCCCGCAGCCAGACTTGCCCGTGGGGAGCCACGCTGCCATTTGGGAGGTCCCTGGTCCTAGTACCAAGTCTGAAAGGTTAGCAGCTTTGAGCTAACTTGGCCCGGGGCACCTTTGTCTACATATTCCCAGTAGAGAAAGACTCCAAGTCCAGTGCTGAGAAGCCGTCAGCCTCTGCTTCCGGTTTTCCAAGATTCCAGATGGGCTCTGTCTTTCTTTAGAAATGCTAAAATTCCTGAAGTCCTGGCTCTAGCCACCTGTTCTATCTCTTTTCAGCTTTGCATATCTGTGGCCCATCCACAGATGCTAGTGTAGAGTTCGTCTCCACCTTTCAGAAAGCAACCTAATTTGCAAGTGGCTGAGATAGCAGGAGCCCGGAGGAGGGATCCAGGCCTGGGGTGAGATGTTCACTTGGAGTTCCTGATCCTTCCACCCACAAACTCTTCACCTGTCCTCCTCACCCTGCTGCAGGCCCCTCCTCCAATGCCTCCTCCAAGACCTCCTGAGTTCCCTCCCTTCCCCATCTCACAGGCAGCAGAACTAATTGTTCCCCCTCTATTTTCCCTACCATGACTACAAATTAATCATACCTGAGTATTGATTATTCTTGACATTCTATTAAGGTCATTTTGGGCTTATTCTCACATTTATTTTCATTTCAAAATAGAGTGTTAAAAGGCAATCTACAACTGCCTGACACCTAAGCAAACACCCAGACCCATTATGTCAATAACTTGGTAAATGTTTTACTCACTGGTTTCCAGCTGCCAGGAGGAGAAATCCAACCATTTGCCAGATGCTCAGATGGTGCCTGGAGAATAATCTTTAAAGGGCATTATCTAGGAGGGAGTGCTCCAGTAATAAATAATTTTAAGTTTGCTGAATTTTTTTTCTTTCAATGCTGCAGATTGAACCCAGAGCCTCTTGCATTTTAGGCAAGAGCTCTACCACTAACTGAAATTTTTAAATTTTTTATATTTTGGAGGAGCAACAAAAGTGCCACGCGTGGTGGATGTGACTGTAATCCCAGCACTGAGGAGGCTGAGGCAGGAGGATCACCACAAATTCAAGGCCAGCCTGGAATACATGAGTTCATGGCTAACCTGAACTACATAGTGAGACTGTCTCAAAAAAGGGGGACAGGGGTGAACTAGCACAAACAATCAACAAGTGGGATCTCTTTTTATTAAAAAGCTTCTGCACAGCAAGAGAAACCACCAGCAGTGTGAAGAGACAACCCACAAT